TGTTTATTTGAGAGATGTTAAGATGGTGCTGAAATTGAATGTGCCCTTATATAATGTATGAGTTTGTACTTTGTAATATATTTTCCTCATCTCGGTATAAATATGAAGAATACTGAGGCTGGGGATGGTTAATTAATGTTGTTGAATATTAATTTGATGTGGCATTAATTTTGATGTGTTTTCTGCTGCTTTTATTACCACATTAAAAGGTTTTGTGTTGCTTTTGTTGAGAGTTGGTACGAAGTGACTGCCTAACTAACGATAACAATTTATGTACACCGATGAACCGAAAATCTGAATCAATTCAATAAAGCCACAACTAAATTGTTTAATTGAACATTGAAGCTCACAACAAATAATAATTGTATCTGTAGGGTCGCGATAAAACTAGCCCTTATGTATAATATAAATAAACGGAAAAGACTGTAGTCCCGTAATGAAAAGATTTCGTAAGAGATTTTAATCTTAAATATGTATACAAGTTAATTACTATAGATAATTTATGACTAAATCCCTCACGGAACAATTGCGTGACGAGACTGTAGGCTTTTCTTAAATAAACCCTCTCTAAAATCAACAACACTGTTATTAAACAGACTTATAACAGTGTATATTTATATCTTTAAATAGATATTTAACTATTATTTTGTCCTATATACATCACATTATTTTATTTTTTCATTATACATTTTCAATATGTACCCATCGGAATTCCTAAATTTAAATTTCCTTGAACAAGCAATAAAATTCACTGTAATTATAAATATCACCAATGGACATACCAATGCAAAATAATGCCTATTCTCTAAAATCCACAAATTACATCACTTTTTTAAAATAAAAAAATCAGTGAATTTATGTAAATTACTTTTTTCCCCCTATTTGTAACCATGGTTAGAAATGATCCAATATCCAATTCCAAAATCAATCGATCAACTGATGAACTCAATAACTGCTCCACTCTACACAAGGATCTCACGCATTTTCACCGGAGCTCGAGCTTCCCCTAAAACCCTCCTCAATTTACGCCGGCCGCGAGGTTCATCGAAGCCCTTTTCCGTCAATCAACCGCTTCCGACGCCCTTTTTCGTCATCTCGAGCCCGAGGCGCTGCGGTGGTGGTGGGACGTCGATAGCCGCCAGATTTTTTACGATGTCGAGCAGCGGAGGCGACGGCCAATGTACGGTGGAGCTGCCGATGTCTCCGTCGAGCGTTCTCAAGATTCAGAAAGGCGACATCACTCAGTGGTCCGTCGACGGGTCCTCCGACGCTATTGTAAAAATCTCTCTTTCTCTTTAATTAATTTGTTTTTGGGTGTTGAATTGTAAATTTTTGCTGTGCGAAAGAGGGAATCGACTGTAAATGCAGGTGATCAGTGTGTTCTGATTGGAAATTTGGGACTTAGGTTTAATATCTGCATCACATTGCTGATGAAAAAAGTAGGCTTTTGATGTTGGGGAAAATGGTTGCAAGCTATTGTTTTTAGCAACACTTTCATTAACTAGGAGAAATCAAGAGAAGTAGGAAAATATTTAGATTACTAATACATTGCAAGCAAAGGAAAAACCACACTATTTGAAGAAATTAAAAAAAAAAATAAAAATCTTTCTTGATTTAGTAGCAAAATCCGTCTATGCTCTGAACTTCCACCATACCTTATGATGACAAGTGTTTGTGGTTTACGATGCTTTGCAGGTCAATCCAGCCAATGAAGTGATGCTTGGAGGTGGTGGTGCTGATGGAGGTGATTTCTTTTTTTTTTTCCCTTTACATTTTGTCCATTTTCAAATTGTTCTTAATGCATTTTAATATAATCTCATCTCCAAATTTATTTCCTTGGGGCTATTTCTAGCCATACATCGAGCTGCGGGTCCTGAACTACGGGCAGCATGTTATAAAGTCCCAGAAGTAAAGCCTGGCGTTCGGTGTCCAACAGGAGAAGCAAGGATTACCCCGTATGCGATAAAGTTTACATTCTTATACTATTGTGTTCGTTATTTTTAATAATAACATGAGCTTAGCTGGTATTGTGAAATTTGTAGAGGCTTCAAGTTGCCAGCTTCTTATGTGATTCATACAGTTGGGCCGATATACAATGTGGATGGGAACCCTGAAGCCTCTTTGAGAAATGCTTACAGGTACACCCAGTCGAACTTTCTGTGGGTCCTTTTTTTTACTGCTTTAGGTTTAGTTATTAGTGGACACTCATCTTGCTTGATTGGACGTGATGCAGAAACAGTTTACGCGTGGCAAAAGAACACAACATTCAGTACATTGCATTTACTGCTATCTCATGTGGGGTGTATGGGTATGTCAGTTTATCATTTACTGAAGTTTATGGTTGTTATTTCTTGCAGAAATTTTATATATGCACGTTCAAATTAATAGTAGTCAGCCTGTATAATTATAATATCTAATATTCACAATCTCCTTATTTAATAACCGACTACAACTATGTCCTTTCGGTTGTGTTCTTTATACCAACAAGAAGCTTCCTTCTGTAATTTAACATATCGGAGATGGAGATCCTTTACTACGACACCAGTTTTACTTTTTGTCATATTGCTACTGAGAAATTCATATCTCTTGTACTACTGTGCAAAGTTTCAATGAACTATTTAGCACAACCAAATTTTTAATATATACAAAGTAACTCCTAGGATGGCATGCTTGGTCGGAAAGAAAGATGGTATCTGGAGTTAGGAATACAAATGCTAATTTACTTGCTTTCGATGTTTTAATTAGGTTCATTTGCTATCGTAAATTGAATTATTACACGTTTTATGGTTGCAGGTATCCCTATGATGAAGCTGCAACTGTGGCCTTATCTACAGTCAAGGAATTTGCAGGGGACTTCAAAGAGGTAATCGTTTTTTTTTTTAAACCACTTTTCTGGAATCTTTGTGCTGTGCTTTGAATATCTGTTGGAATGTCTTTTGGGAGAAGGAATTTGGGAATGGACGTAAGATTTGCTTTATCTTTCCTGCTGGAAATTTACACCTGTAAATGCCATGTTTTGTGAGTTTTTAATTTAATAACTGAATGTTCGTGAAACCTTAATAGTAGAACAAATATAATAATATCGATGTATACTGGAGCTCCATATTTTGTGGGGAGAAAGAATGCTACTTTTTTTTTCCTCCTTTTCATAAATTTGCCAGTGACATTAATCATTACCATAAAATTTTGCATTTCAGGTGCATTTTGTTCTGTTCTCGGATGAGATTTATGATGTTTGGTCGAGAAAGGCCCGTGAATTGCTTCAAGAGTGACCAATCTGACAGATATGGTCAAATGTCAAAACTGTCGGATACTTACTTGAACATGTTATTTCGGATTCTATCCTATCAGTCTGCAATTTTAAACTCTTTTTTTTCCCATGGGATGAGTTATGAGTATGGATATTGAAACATGCTTCATCTGTTTTATTCTGTGGAAGTGTGTATTTCTTCAGTTTTCAAACTGCAGTTCGTGGTTTTCTCCTTTTAATTTAGTTGCCTTTGCATTCTGTTTCATCTCAAACACTCCAATGCAAATACTTCGGAACTTTGTGCAACCAAATATATGTGAGTAGCTTCACATAAATGATAATTTTATGCTTTGCTTACTGGGTATGTCTTAAAATGAACCCAAGTAGAGATATATTTTACTTTTTATATGCAACATCAACTAAGGTTGAGCTGGAGATGATATTTAACATAAAATGCCAGAATCTTATTCTCATGTGACATCAGACATTATCACAAAAAGACCTAAACATTGAAATTAGACATGGCCACGGCCGGGCCGGGCCTTCGTCCCGGTTCTGGCCCGGTCAGCAACCGGCATGTATTGCTGGTCACCGTGGCTTTATGGGTCGTTTCCGGGTCCTTTTTTTTTTT